AGCCCCCAATAAAATAACTAAAAAAAGAAGTGGGGGTGGGGGGGCAACAAATACTGTTGGGATCATGGAGAAATTGAAACTCTGATATACTTATACATTAGTGGGATTGTAAATGTTAAAACCCTTATGGGAAACCAGATGGTGCTTATTTAAAAAGCTAGAAGTAGAAGTAGCTTATCATCCAGCAATCCCAATCCTAGGTCTATAGTTTAGAGAGCTAAGGGCAGGGGAATGAATAGGCATATGTTCACCCATGTTTTCGCATTATTCACAAAAGCAAAAAATGATAAGCACCTAAGTGTATATTAGTGGACAAATGGACAAATAGTGGTACATGCACATAATAGAATACTATATAATAAAGAATAATGATGTATCTGACAACTATCTTAAATCATAGATGAATCTGAAAGATATTGTGTGCTTTGTGAATAAACCAATCAAAGCAGGGCAACTATTACATGATACCATTGTAACAAAAAGTCAAGAGTAGGTAGACACTCAGAAAAAAACATTGTTTGGTTACCAGTGGTGGGAGTGGAGAGAAGTCGGAATCACCTACTAGATAGTAGACATGTAAAAGTTCTGTTGATGAGAAAGGCAATATACAATATGAGAGAAATCAACTTGACTAAGGTAAATGAAGACATTGAGAGCTCTACATTACCACTCGTGATAACATAGGAAGATAGGTATGATATACGGTGTAAGACTAAGGAACTCCCATGACTTTTTCTTAATATACCCTTTTAACCGGAATCCCAGTGGTCACCTTCAACCAAATAACAGATTGGCTTATAAAATAAGCAACAATGTCCATGAAGAATTTGCTCCTTTAGCCAGTCAACTCTGTAAGTCCAAAGAGTGAATATTTATATGAAGGCAAAGATAAGATAGCAAGGAGGGGCAAGACAACTGGATGGATGGAAACGGGGTAGGTCGGTTGAAATGGTGAGAATTCTGACAAGTTACCAGGATTGTAACCAATGCTACAGACCAATTTGTGTGTGAATTATTGTATGAGAATCTGTCTTGTAAATATTAACTTAAAACAGACTAAGGAATTAAAACGATAAGAAGAAGTGCAAGTGTGAGCTATTGGTTTCTGATCAATTTTATGTTTTATCATTTAAAAAAATATTTTTTCTTTAATTTTTAAGGGTCACACAGCAATGCTTCATACTGGCTCATGGCATCCCAAAATAAAGGGAGAATTTATGACTTGCTCAAATGACGCGTGAGTATTATTGATAATCTATTTAATAGATTCCTGTCTCTTTTTTACATTCCTGTCTTTAAATATTTAATAGTCTTAACAGTAAAGTAGGAAACGATGATGGGGAAATAGATCTACGTGCATATATTTATAAGTTGGACATTGGGCCTCCACTCAAGTACTTCCTCAGTGCAAGAACATTTTGTTCTATTAAGTTGGCATTCCATGATGCTCACCTTCCCGACACGATCACTGAAGACAAATGTGTACATAAGCAAATGTGGTGAAGAAAGCTGATGGTGCCTGACTATAAAAAGATATAGCATGTGGGGTCTTAAAGGCTTAAAGGTAAACAAGCGGCCATCTAACTCAGAAGCAACAAAGCCCACATGGAAGAAGCACACCAGCCTGTGTGACCACGAGGGGCCAAAGGGATCAGTTACTAGGCATCAAAGAACAAAAAATCATATCATTGTAAATGAGGGGGAGTGCAGATTGGGGACCCAAAGCCCATCTATAGGTAACGGGACATTCCCTTACAGAAGGGTCACAGGGAGGAGACGAGCCAGTCAGGGTACAGTGTAGCAGCAATGAAACGTACAACTTTCCTATAGTATCTAAATGCTTCCTCCTCCCCCACTATCATGATCCCAATTACACTTTACAAATCTGGCTAGACCAGAGGTACAGATAGGAACTGCAAACAGGGAATCCAGGACAGATGATCCTTTCAGGACTAGAGATGAGAGTGGCGATACTGGAGGTTGGAGGGAAGGTAGGGTAGAATGGGGGAACCGATTATAAGGATCTACATATAACCTCTTCCCCGGGGGACGGACAACAGAAAAGTGGGTGAAGGGAGGGAGACATCAGACAGTGTAAGACATGACAAAATAATAATTTATAAATTATCAAAGGTTCATGAGGGAGAGGGGAGCAGGGAAGGAGGGGGAAAAATGAGCTGATACCAAGGACTTAAGTGGAGAGCAAATGTTTTAAGAATGATGAGGGCAACGAATGTACAAATGTGCTTGACACAATGGATAGATGTATGGATTGTGATAAGAGTTGTATGAGCCCCCAATAAAATGATTTAGAAAACAACAACAACAACGACAAAAACGTAGGAAACAATAGTAAAACCATAGCCCTGGTGTCGTAGTGTTACGTGTTGGGCTATGATCTGTAAGGTCAGCAGTTCAAAACCACCAACTGCACCTTGGGAGAAAGACGGGGCTTTCTGTTTTTGTAAAGAGTTAAGTCTCGGCAACCCACAGGGGCCAGTTTAGCCTGTCCTGTAGAGTTAGTCACTACGAGTTGGCATTGACCTGATGGCAGTTAGTTTGTAACTTTACTTTGAGTTTAACGGATAGTATAAGATTAAATATAAATTCCAATAGTTTTTATAAGGTGACACTATGGATCAGAGTGATATTATTAAGTGGACTCAAACGGTGTTGAAGTTGTGATTTTAATTATTGTGATTGTATTAGTTTTTTTAATAGTATTGATTTCCATCTTCGTGCACTAGCTAACACATTTTAAAAGATAATCATTGGTTCTATGATAGTTATTTTGAAAGTAATAAAATTTGATCAAATGATTATTAGAAGGCAGTTTTGAACTTTTATATATTGGTCGCTCACCAAAGAATACTAAAGGAAATTGTTGAACTGTTTATTCCTGTTTTTATTATATTATGAGATCCATATTTAGTATTCACAGTTCTTTACCAGAGTACATTATTTATAATTGCCTAGAGAAAATTAACATGAATAACTTTATAAATTAAAAACTATAGATGGTCTTATACATGTTATATTTATGTTAAAAATAATTTTGTGCTTTCAAAAAAGTTTGTTTTTACCATTTAGTTTTCTGATTTTTATGAATTGCTTCACTAACATTCAAATTTACTCTGTACATTCTTGGATGCTTTATGTTTACTGACGTTAATCCTTAGAATAAATGACAAAAGATAAAGTTGTCCATCTATAGAAAGGAAACAAAATTAACTGGCCCAGAAAGGAAATGAAATTAGACAATTCATATCAATACTAATGTGTACATTTGAATAAAGGGTCTGGTAATGTTGATTCCTTTTTTTCATCTTATAGCATAAGTAGCTTCAGAAATACTTATATTATGTAAACTTAAAATATATTCCTTATTTCAGCATTAAATAAAATTTATCAGTAATCTAAATTAATAGTATCTCATGACCAAATAGGGTTTATTCTGAAGATTCGAGGATATTTTCCCATTAGGAAATTTTACCATCAGGAAATTTTGAACATAATTAGTTAGCAAATGTGTGGTTAAAAATATTATAGATTTTCTTTTACATGAAATGGATATTATAGGAAATTCAGTAGTCTTTATCAGTAAAATGTCTAGGTAAAATAGTGATAAAAATGAACCACTGCTTTCCAACCTGGCCCTGGCACAATGGCTCCCACAGAGAAGGGCAGTGAGAAGGAGAAGGGCCATTCAGCCACAACTATTACGCGATGTAGATTTAGAGAACTTCTATATGAGGGTAGGATGGGAAATTCAATATTGGATATTAATGCTACCAGGGAAGAACAAACCCATTCTTGTAAATATGGAATCCAGGAGTTGGGATAAACACTTTGTTGTCAGCGCTATTTAAGGACCAGTCTGGATGATATGTTCTGATACTTGTTAACTCAATAACTTTATGAACTCATAATCACTTTTCCCAAATTGATTTCTGGGATATATAAATTAGATACAGTGTGAAGAAAGGCATTTCATGACAAATGTATTTGAGAAGCTTTGCTACTAGTGTAATGGTCCACAGTAATATTTAGAAGGTTCTGAGTAGGGTAGTTGACTAGTTAACTTTGTTAATCTTCCAAAGAGCACAGATAAAGTTCTACAGGCGTGTGACTGGGGACTCCCTGAGAAAGGGGCTGTGCACTGGTTTTCAGTGGACCTCACTTTGGTCAGTAGGTCACCCTGCTGTTCATTGCCTTCTCTCCTCTTCTGTGTTGACAGTCAGGACAGAGATAAACATTGACTGGCAGTCTCATGAGGTCCCTTTCCTTTTGGAGATGTTGTTAAGGCTACTTTAGGATTTAAACTCAGATTATTTCAACACGCTCCCTATGTGCTCATAATAGTAACATTCTTTTTCTTTCCCCTGTTCCTTGAATCTGCCCTCTCCTTTTTTATTTAAATAATTAATCTCTCCTTCCTAGCTTTCAATTTTGGGCAACTGGAAAATATAGTCTTGGAATACTCTGACCCTGGTGTAGAAAGCCTCCAAATACCTGAAACCTTGTGTCACTGCAGTGTGATTCAGACATTTAGTGCTTAACATACACGGTGAGTGCTTGCCAGGCGATGGCTCACGGCAGAGGCGGAACAAAATGTGGAGCTTGCCAAGGTCAATGTCAGACTTCATGTAAGCAACACCTATAATGAATTAGTTCAGATGCAATAGTTACCCTGGCAGCTCAGAATGAGGAATTGGGTGAGCAGCTCTTCTGGTGGAGAGCAACGTGACATCTCCTTTTTTCTTCTGACCTGAGGGCACCAAGTTAAATTATGGATTCCTCTTCTGGGTGTGAGTTGGAGATGCTTAACTTTTTGATTCCAGGAGATTCAGTATAAACACAATCCAGATAACAGGACTGTTTAAGAATGAAATAAAATAAGAAGGAGTAAGTGTAAGATGGCAATTAATCTTTTTTTTTGGTTGTTGTACCCAAATTTACCAGAATGAGAAAGAGATAATGAGACCCAGCTTACTACATTGTACTTGGAAGCAAATGCTAAGGGAAACCAGATGCTAATGAAATAGGAAGAATGTGTACATACTCAAAGGAAGTCATTTCAGCTTGTGAATATATATGGTCTGACCAAGAGTCATTTAAAATTTGAATTTGTAGTCATGTCAGAGTGGGAGTACAAGTATTACTAGTGAGATCTAAGTCCCTAGTACAGAATTTAGCAGATTCCAGCTCAGCATGGAGCTCTGCCTATCACCAAACCCAAACCCAAACCCAAACCCACTGCCATCTAGTCCATTCCAACTCACAGCGACCCTGAACCAGAGTAGAACTGATCCTGGGGGTTCCTGAGATGGTAAATCTTGATGGGAACAGGCAGCCTCATCTTTCTTCAGTGAAGTGCTTGATGAGTTAGCCTTTTGGTTCACAGTCTAATGCTTATCTCACAGCCTGCAGCACCATCAGGCTTGTGTGCATGTACTAACCTTCGCTCTCTCTATATATATCTATATCTATTTAATAAGTATTCCATGGAATCCTGTTTAGTTACAGGTGAGTCCTTCTGCACATGCACACACATGTGTGGACATATATATGGATAAGAAGAGTGAGAAAAAAACGAGGTTGCAAAAACAAGAATAGCAAAATCAAGTGAAGGATATACAGGTGTTCACTATTGTTATTTGTAGCTTTGAAGTATATCAAAGTAGCTTTGAAGTATATCAATTTGAAACATTGATGGACGAGAGCTTAATACTGGTCTAAAGTTGAATGTACAATAAAAGTAAAGAGGGCCATTCATGAAGGTTATAGTTATTTACATTCCACTTATTCTTGAATACATTTTCACTATATCATTTTTACTTAGATTTGAGAGGTTAGGAACTATCTGCATTGGATTATACATAGCAGGGGTTCTAAATGTATTCTCTGGAGTGCTGTTATCTGTAGGATGTCCAAAGAGAAAAGATTCCACTCTCCTCCTTTTGGAGAGTCATAATACAAAAGAGTTAATACATTAATTAAAGATCTTGAGAGGTTTATGAAAAAATTTAAAAAGCCAGTATATCCCAGACAAATTGATAAAATCCCTTCTTAGACACTTACATGCTGGGTGTAAGTTCCTAGGGAAATGAAGATAAACAATAGTAGTAAGTGCTTTTGATAGTTGTCTTAGTATTCTTTACTTGATGTCTAGGTTCTAATTCCCATTGCAATGGCTATAACAGCACTCACAGACAAAATTCACGATTAAAGTGCTTA